CACGAGCCCTCTTGGCCTCCAGGTGCTGTCGGTCTCGTTCAGCCATAGGCTCGGGGCTATTTCCTGAGTCATGAGTAGGCGTTTCTTGCGATGTTGAATAGAAATCCTATGTCAAGGATGGTGGTATTCCAGCGACATTGTCTTAAATAATAGGAACAGCCTTTGAAAACATCATGATTCGTACCAGGGGCATCGCGTCGCCTTCATTGGCTGTTGGCAAAATCACCGTTCTGTGTCCATGGCATTGCTGTGTGGTAGGGGCTGCCTAGAGCGAGTACGTCGGTGCGGAAAGAGCATGTTCCAGTTTCCAGTCCCAAATTTTAGCCCCAATCATGCACACAAATACCTTCTCAACCTCTCTGCAACTAGGACTGCCAAGAAGAGTGCGATCTTGAATCTTCTGCAAGGCACGCCCGCTCACGTATTGGCTCACGCATTGGAGTCCAATTCTTGGCTTGGTGGCTTGTGATCCTGAGACTCTCCATCTTTGCATTTGACAACCTCAACGGAAGTTAGACGCATCTTGTTGTCCACTGTTATGTCCCCGACGCGGCGTTTCAGCTCGACGGTCATGAGATTCCAATGACACGAGGCATCGAACAAGACCCCGCTATGTAGCAGATACACAGTCCTGTGCCAGGAGTGGAGCAGTGCCTGGACAGTAGAACAAGGGAGTTGCCAAGGACCCAAAGGATGTAGCCAAGACGGCAAGCAAGCTTGACGGGCGATCGGGAGCCGCATCCACGGTATTTAGTCGTCTTGGCATCAAATGGCTCCTTCAACGGATCAAGATTCTTCGTTGAGCAGAGGAATTTCGCGTCGCGCTTGTCAGAGGACGAACTCATGGAACAAGAGGAAGGTAACAATAAGCTCAAGAATACAGTCACAGCTAGCGCGACCAGTGTGGCTCTCAATTTCGGGGCAGCCAAACCTTAACGCGTCGTCTGACTCGCCTGAGAGGACGCCACCAACAGAGCCGTTGGTCCTTGCGCCTGTTTTGCTGCTCGGGTTCCGCCACGAGCTTTCCATCAAGGTTTGGGATCTCCGCGCTGGCGTCTACCTTGCTTTCACTGCAGTCGCTACACTGTAGTCGCTACACTGCAGTCTTTGTCCGGCCCGTCCGACGAAGACCTCAGACCAGCTATCCAATCGTCGATGGCGAGACCGACATTCGTGAGAATCAGCATCGCGCCAGTTCGTCTGAAGAAGAAGAAAAACGTCTCGGCAACACGGCACTGGATTTTGCCCCTCACAAATGGGCCCCGGCTCGTTCTTCTCGAGCTTCCACATTGATTCTAGCTCCCCCCTCTCCGCAATGATGGCGCTCTGTCGATCGGGCAAGCTGTAAGGCCCGGCTGGGGTCGTAATCAGCCGTCAGGCCTATATCGTATCGCTGGTTGGCGGACAGAGATTCAATGGGCTGCAAATGACCCTGATGGGCCTAAGCAGGGGGCACCAGTCATCGTCATGCCAAGCCATTACTGTCCTTCCCGTTACGGCAGCCACCCGCACAACGGCTTGGTGGGTAAACCGCGTTACACATGGGGCCGTTGCTTAGTGGTGGCTATCACGCAATAGTGAACACGACGGGGCGAGACTTGCGCCCAGCATCTCGGTCGGGGCATCGTTCTGAGCACCACAAGTCAACGCGAACACGGCGAGCGATCCAGACCCCTTCCGATGCAGTCTGGTGGCATTGGGTTCCATCGAAGGCAGGTGGAACTGGATACTACGGAAATCCTTCATGTGAGTGGCGCCTGCCGGTTCGCGAGCATGCTGCTCCCAGCTGGCGCTTGCCCCTCCCTGGTTGCTGGTCACACAGGTGTCTGCCATGGTCATCGTTGCTACCTCTCGAGCTATCTAGCTGGGGTAGGTTGGTTCGGGAAGGGCCATTCGGGGGCAATTGCGACAAGAGTAGCAGGGGCATCACTTGCCTGAACAAAACATAAATACACCCTTCGCAGCCCCCCCTCAGCTATGGACAGCCTCTCTTGCTCTCCTCCTCTAGCCTCAAGCCATTGCCCGCTCCCAGGCCATCGGATTCCCTTTCCCTGCCCTTTCCCGTCCCCCGACACCTCCCGCTCCCTCCTCTGGTCATCTACTACAAGCTATGCGCTTCAACACCCTCGCCAGCGCGGCTCTGGCCGCCAGCTCGGCCGTCATGGCCAAGGAGCTGCCCAAGAACGAGGAGCTGGCCGCCGAGCTCTACGACTCAGGCGTCATCCACGAGCAGATGATGGCCAAGAAGATGGCCCACTGGACCGCCGAGTTTGAGGCCGGTCTGCTGCAGTCTTCCAAGTGGCCCCGCCTCAACTACACCAAGTGTGTCAATGGCTACGCCGAGGCCATCAAGGGTGACCCTCTGCACAAGTTCAAGTGCAAGAACGTGAGTCTCTGCTCTTTTCTTCTATCTGTTCACACGTGCTGACAATGGCAGATCGACCTGTACGACTTCATCAACCACAGCGAGCTTGGATCGCCCAACTCGGACGCTTCCTTCCGCACCGGCTCCTCCGCCTGGGGTTGGACCGACCCCGAGTCTGGCCGTGAATTCGTCACGAGCGGCATGTACGATGGCGCCGCCTTCCTCGAGGTTCTCCCCGAGGGTCGTCTCCTTCACCTCGGCTTCCTGCCGTCATATGCCCCCACCGGCCCCCGCTCTCTGTGGAAGGAGATTCGCTCGTACAAGAACTACATGCTCATCGGATCCGAGCTTGAGGGTCACGGCATCCAGATCTTCGACATGCGGAAGGTAGGCTTCTAGCCCGATACACCCTCTAGAGCAGTATCGTACTGACAGACACAGCTCCTCACCATCAAGGCCGCCGACGCCCCCGTGCGCTTCTCCAACGAGAAAGATCTCACAGGTCACTTCGCCGACCTCCCCGTGGGCCGCAGCCACAACGTCGTGATCAACGAAGAGGCGAACTACGGTGTCGCTGTGGGCGCCGCGCCCCGCAACGGCACCTGCAAGGCCGGTCTCATCTTCTTCGACCTGACCGACCCATTCAAGCCCACAAGGCTTGGTTGCAACGGCGAGGACGGCTACGTCCACGACGCCCACTGCCTCATCTACCGTGGTCCCCACAAGAAGTACGAGGGCCGCGACATCTGCTACGGCTACAACGAGGACACCCTCACCATCTACGACGTCACCGACAAGGCAAACTCCAAGATCATCTCCATCACCTCGTACGAGGGCGCGACCTACACCCACCAGGGTTGGGTTCTGGATGTGAACAACCAGGAGTACCTGTTCCTTGACGACGAGATTGACGAGGTACTTTCATCTTCACTCTTCTTTCTCAAGACTCCGTGCTGACCCATTTACAGGAAGAGAGTGCTGGCCCCGCTGCTGACGGCTACCCTGTCACTTACATCTTCGACATCCGCGATCTCGAACACCCCAAGCAGACCGGCCTGTACAAGGCTGCGGTCCGCGGCATCGACCACAACCAGTACATCCGCGACGGCCTGAACTTCCAGTCCAACTATGGTGCTGGTGTCCGCGTCTACGATGTCAGCTCCGTGCCTGAGGACCCCACTGGTGACTCGGTCTGCGAAGTTGCTTTCCTCGACATCTACCCTGAGGATGACAACGAGCCCGGTGGTGGTATCGTTCAATATTCGGGTACCTGGGCCTCTTACGCGCAATTCGACTCGGGCTATATCTTCATCAACACGATCGAGCGCGGCGCCTTCCTCGCCAAGCTGACCAAGCGCGAGAGGTGCAAGCCCAAGAGCTGCAACGCCGACAACTGTCTTCGTGCCCTCCGCTCCAGCTCGGTCAAGGGCCGTCTCGAAGAGAGCCAGGAGTTCTGCGCCGGCTTCCTCGATGGCTGGAACGCCCAGGTCACCGCTGTCCCCGAATACGCCCAGAAGGCGTGCCCTACCAATGTCATCTCGCGTGTCAGCTCGGCGTGCTCGTGCCTGCCTACCGCGGCCCCCACAACGGCTTAGACGGTCGAAATGGCGACTGAGATGTCCGCTTCGGTATCCGGGGATGAGTATCCTAAGGTGATTAGCGGACCTGGCGATACTGCCAGTGTTTCGTCCATCGTGTATCTTCCAACCGCCGAGTGCGAGGCTCTTTGAAATGTATCATGGGAAACATGAAAATGAACGTTGGATATCACCCATGCTACAACACCTTGGATTGTCAGGGCATGTTTATGGCTAATCCATACTGTCAATAGTGTAATGAATAATGAATACGATATGTCAAGGATGTCCAGTAATGCAATTGTATGCAGTTGTCCTGATGAAGTTTCCATCCACGTTGGGCGTTAGAAAGCATTGAAGTCGAACAAAATTTGTCCTCATATCCACCACCAAACGAGGACTTGGTGAGCTCATTTTCAGATGCTTTCCTGTCAGGCAACTCCTCAGAATCACCGACAAACCCCGCGAGCCTACGCCATGCAGGGTTCTCGTAAGAATGCAACCTCAGACCGCCCTCCCAGCACCACAGCTCATCCTGCTGCAGGACGGCACGGCGTCAACCCCGCCAGCTTTCTGCACCCCCTCCTGCGCCAAGACGCGGCATGCCGCCGCCATTGGGCCGCTCCCCTGGCGGGCCACACCCCGCCGAGGCTGAGATGCGTCAGGCCATATTAATCACGGCCTCCTGGCGCAGGACGGGTAGAATACCTTTCCTCGTATTCCAATATTCTCACTGCTTAGGATGAGGGGTAGCACTGCGGTTGAGGATGATTACGGGAGGTGAGAAGATTGGAATCAGGATGTTTGTGCAGTAGTTTGCTGACGCCTGCCGAATCCATGCAGAACAAGTGCGGGCTGAAGTGTTTTCCATGGGAGGGCCGCAGATCCGGCACCATAGGCATGTCGGCGGGACGAAACGGGGATATAAGAGCTGGAGATGTCCCTCTCAGCGGGTCTCAAGACTGTTACATAAAGCTCTCAAAGTATTCTTCGTCCGGTTCCCAACGCCTCCGCAACAAGGCCATCGGTGAACATTGTCACCTGCTTCCACGCCTCCAATGCTGTCCCTCCTCCTCTTCGCCGCTGCGGTGGCTGCGCAGTGCACACTGCCAACCACGCCCCTCGCCTCAACCATCACCGAGCCCTTTGGTATCCAGGTTCAGAACCCGGCGTTTCCCGAAATCCACAACCGCTACCTCTATCTTTGGGATGCCGGCGGCGGCGACAAACATCTCTATCTCAACCCCGCCGGCGTTCCCGCGACGACGCTGACCCTCGACGCCGGCGTTCTCGAATTGGGGCCTCTCTTTGCCGTCATCAATGGCGAGGTGCGTTCCTGACCTGTCCTAGTTGACGTCTTGCTCTAATGAACCCAGTACACCGCCTGGGACAACACGACCAAGCTCTTCACCACGCAGCGCGGCGACCCTCGCGCCATCTTCGAGCCCACCCACGCCTGCAACCCCGACACGACCGCCCCGCAGATCGAACTCGCCTTCACGGGCCGCCAGACGTCCCCTCCAGGCGGTCACATCTGCGTCCGCCTCGCCTCGGGCAACAGGCACGAGTTCCGCTACTCGCCGCCGCAGAACCCGGCCCACGACCCCTCCCGTCCGTGCATCCCCGTCGTCCTGGCCCTCACGCGCGACGTGCCGCCCCCGCAGCCCGCGCCGACAACAATTACAACAATTACAACGACGACGACGACGACGACTGCCGGTCCCCCGGTCGTCCCGTCCGCCACGGCGGCGCCGGCTCCCTTCCGGGACGTGACGGCCCTGGGCTGGCGGTTCGTCGGGTGTGCGCCCGAAGAGGGCCCCGCGGGCGACGGCCTTGGGCGGACGCTCGGCGGGGCGCTGCACGCGGACGATGGGCTGACGAACGAGGTCTGCGTTGCGTTCTGCCGGGGCCGTGGGTTCCGGTTTGCCGGGTCCGAGTACCGTCGTGAGTGCTGGTGCGGGAACACGCTGGCGGAGACGAGGGTGCCTGGGACGACGGCCGCGAGCCTGGCGGGGTGTCGGCTTCCTTGCGCGGGAGACGGGGCGCAGATTTGCGGAGGGAGGGGGTGGATGAGTTTGTATGAGGCTTGTGTGGAGGGGGGGTCGTGTGTGAATGCTGAGTTTGAGTCGTGAGGCTTTGACGGCCCAGGGCTCGATTTTGATGGAGGATGCGCCTTACTCCATGGCGAGAGGTGAGATGCCGTGAAGGGTATATAGAATAGTACCTTACTCCATTGTACTGCTCCCTCCTTTTCGTTCCATCTGTTGAGATGTTCCCTGAACGCTCCATCGAAGGAATCAAATTGTTGAGGGAGGTGCTGCTGTCACGATGAAGTGCGGATCTCATGTCTTTGTTCGGAACAGAATATCTCATTGATGATGATGATGAATCATTCAACGCCACTGTAAATCCTATATAGGCAAAAAGGCGCCCGCGCCGCCACACTCCGTCGTCCGTTTAAGAAGGCTATATGCAAGTATGGAATATCTCATTGCCGGAGCGTGAGGGTGAGAAGAGTGAAGAGGTCTTCCGGAGGGGATATCCGCGGTCATTTGATAGGGCCCTCCGCAGCTCTTATATACTTCCTCTCGTATCCCAAGCCCGTAGCTCCGTAAGTGCCTCCTGTCACTCATGCCATCGTTGCAGCCCGCCGGAGCTGAAGAGCCGGCGCGATCAATGCAAATGATTAACCTTGAAGAGACACGATAATTTTAGTCCATGCGCCGTAAACGTCAAACAGGTAGTCTAGGCACGTTGTATGATTAAACCTTGTTGCGGATGTCAACGCTGGAAGTTTCAAACTCAGCCGTGAGAGGCTCGCCAAGGAGGCCGTCCGAGGGCTATAGAATGATCCGCTGAGGCCAATGCGATTCAGGATATGCGTAATGCTCACGTAGACATTCCCAGCAAACGCTCCCTTGCACGTCATCCAGTATCAGTGCTGCGTGTCCATTGCCCTGTTGGATCAAGATGGAAACCGCGGCCAGACGAGCCACCCAATTGCGCTTCGTCTGCAGTACACCAATGCAAGGTGGTGGATCGAGAAATTCATCCCAGGACTTGATCGATACGGTACTCTGATTCCGGGAGGACGCATTGAAATTCCTTGGGCAATCGCAGGGAAACGAGATGATGTCCGGACGATCGGTCTCGATGCCCAGGACATCAATATCGGCGACCCACGCGCCCTGGTGCTGGACAGAAACAACCGATTCGAGCAGGAAGATTTCTTGGTCGATTTCTCCAGTGCACTCCCAATCTAGTGGAATCTTCCACGTGGTGAAAGACAGGTGTAGAGACGTTCCTTCAAACGTGTTGACCTCCACGCCATCATATTCAAGGTGCGCCACCTTGGATGCGTCAAAACCTGGCGGCCGTATTCGAGGTTCTCTCGGGGATACCATGAAGACCATGCCCGCATGGCCTACATTGCCCACCAGGTGTCTGATTCCGAGCTGCCGCGACACGTCGCTGGGATCCGAAAGGAGTATCTCTGATACGAAAATAGAATCCTCCGAGCATAAAGCGACCACCTCGGCCAACTGGCCGGGCTCAATATTGAAGCGGCCAGACTCGAACATGGCCACACAAGCAAACATGTTGGCGCGCTTCATCTCATCCATGTAAGAAGCGGGGTGGCGCATAGCCCTGTAAGAATCATGCGCGGAGTCGCGGGCGGCTTTCATGCGCGGAGGCAGCCAAAGAGCCTTCAGCAACTCTTGTTCCAGTATTCGAAGGGAGACAGTAGCTCGGGGAAGAGCTTCATAAACGTGGCTCGCAACCTCGAGGATTTGCAGAGAAAGAGTCCACAGCGGTGAGACGCGAGAAGCAACTGTGATCACGGAGAAGCACCCAGACGGATCGTAAGATGCATCGAGATCACCGTGTTCTGACTGCAACACGTAGTCGATCGCACGTTTGTTTGTTGGCGTCCATGCTATTTTTTCATCGATCGAGCCAGTCGAATGAGGTTGTTTTCGCTTCAAGCTTTGGCTGCTGATGCGAGCTTTGGTGTGGCGACGAGCGTATAGACGAGCGCTTATGTCCCCCGGCGACTCCTACAAACGTCGAAATATCATTGGTGAGTCTTGGAAAGATGGACTTCTGGCTCTTTCAGAGCTCGGGTTAGAGACTCACCACAAGAGACGTGACTAGATACCTGTAAACCTTGTCTGCAGACACGCTGTTCTTGAGCCATGAAATGCTCTCTGCTAGTGATTCAACTTGGTTGAGTTGAAGACGGCGCAGCTCGCGCTCCAAAGCCAGGGTGCAAGCTGCGTGCTTCTCAGCTCGCACCCACAGCCCAAAATCATGATAGGCAGAAGATCCCAACGGGTATAAGCCGAGGAACTCTGCACGTTCAGAGAACAGTGCGTCAAGACTTATCTCAATGTTGGATCCGGTGTTGGCTGTCGACAGGATTGTGTCATTTTCCTGAACGATGATTCTGCAAATCTCGCCCCTAGATTCGATGAACTGGCGTCGTTCCTGTAAATAATGCTTTTGAGGAGAGGCGACATCTGCGTCATCAGACTGCCTGATGTCAAATAGCCATGTGACATGGCGCTTACCCACCCATCCACAGTTCTCTACTGATGGGTAGGATTTGACAAGATGTTCTTCAATGGGGCTCGTAGTCGCATACTCTCTGTGAGTCCCATGGTAATATGCTACGATGGCCTCGTCACCTTCGAGCTGAAGAAGGGAGCTGATGTGGCGCAGGTAGTCAATAGCGGAATCAATATCCGTAGAATGGCTCAGAGCTCTCATGATATGCGGATTGTTGAGTCCAAAATATGGCGCTGCTGCCGTATATTGAATCTCATCACTTCCATGAGGTCCGCTTTTTCCGAGAAAGTTCGCACCCCTTCTCCAGCCGTACTTGACGAGGTTTTGCTCACCCTCGCCGATGTCAGTCACAGCTGAACAGAGACGAAGAAGCCAGGACAACCGGTCATCCTTTCCGTCTCTTGGCCTTAACCGACTCAGCTGAACCAGGCCTCGGCTAAGCGTTCTGCCCAGTTCCTGGAACCAAAGCAGACTTACCTCGAACTGTCCATACAGTACGTTCCACTCACGAAAGATGGCTCCAATTGTCACAAGCCACAGCTGGGGCATAGTTATCCGATTCTGCATCTCCTCGTCGCTCCGAACAGCAACTGGCGCGCCATAATAGCGCAAGTGAGACAGAGCCAGTGACCATCGGAGATAATTGTCGGAGGGCGTGCCGTTGTATTCCAACCCAAGGCTGAGTACTCCCGAGCTGGGAAACAGCCCGTCTTGAAAAGACACCTTGGTCGCCTTTTCCTGAAAAACAATCATTTCCGGGTAAAGATGCCAAGCAGAAATGCCCCGGATGACGGCTCGATCGCAAGCCTGCTGAGGGATGTTGCACAAAAGTTTCTCGAGAACTTCCATCGCGCGCGTCCACGTCAAGATGACCGTGCCGTAGGTCGACCCGCCCCTGGGGTACGGGATTGTGAGATTATTGGATATGAGGGCGAACTGAACCCGTTTGGACGCCATCGACTCACCAGCCCTTCTGATCCAGGACCTCACGCTCGCGTCCCAGGAAGCCAGCTCTGCCCGGGCGAATTCCTGCCTTGCCGCCGCCAGCGTCTGCAGACTCAACATCTTATTGTCTTTCTGCTGGGCCTGGATTTGCTCCTTTCGCTCGTCGATAAGCTCCACCCAGATCGAGATGGCGGTTTTGGCATCCCAAGCATCGGCCAGCATGCATGCGAGAAGCAAAACGCCAATGGATGGAGATCCCGATGTGGCAGCAGCCCAAATCGACGTGCAGTCAGCGCCGATGAACGGTCGGAATGGTCCGTCTTCATCCGTGCCCTGAGGGTTGACTTTGGGGAGCGCGAGAATCTCCGACACGCGTTTGCCGTATGCTTTGATGAGATTTGGCGTATCAGGAATCACCTCATTGAAGAGAAAGCCGAGTTTGCAGGCCGTTCTGTGGATGGATCCGCTCTCTGCTTCCACCCTTCTCTTGACGGTCAACGCCGAACCGACTGGGACGAACTCGGGCGATGGGTCACAGCGCCAGAAGCAAACGTCGACGTTCAGGTTCACTAGAGCTACCGTGTTCTCATTCGTGAAGGAGGCACCAGAAAAATTGATCTTCCCGATTGAAGCCATCCTGATCGTGTTGTAGGCCAGCCGGGTTTGGGGAACCACCTATAGAAGTTGATGGTCGCGGCTATGCTGCATAAGATTGACTGTGCATTTGAGAAAGCGACTTGCTTCATCATCCATAGGACTTGCTTTTTAATTAAATACAGATCATAGGAACTTGGGACCAATGTTGACTCGGCGGTTCCAGAGGGACAACATCGTAGGTAAGGCCACCAATCCCACGCGTACACGACTGGAAATCTGCCTTGAGCATGCGCCACATCGCCATGGCGAGGGGAAGGCTTGCCCGATGAGGATATCCGCGGCCAGGCTACCGCCTCGCGCAGGCAATGCAGCCAGATCCCGATAGGCGGTGAGTCCACTAGTCCGATCCAGCTGATGCATTCAGAAACGTAGACACAAGATCACCGCAGTTTTAGCTGGTCCATTATCATTGACTACCTAATTCACTCTGTCACTGTCTCTGCCTCTGGCTGCGGCCTTACTCTGGCCAGTCACAGATGCGTGATGGCATGCATCATACCAACCAGTCATGGCCTTTCAAAGCGCTTGATAGCTGAGTTCCTGCCGCCCGTTGACAAGAACCGTTTTAGCTTCTTCTCCTCAGCTTAAGAGTCCACCATCCATGCTCACGACTTTGGGGACCTGGTTCTTCAGTCACAGAGATGCAAGGTTGGTTAGCTCATCCTTGCAGAGTGCCCCGATTCTTACTTCTCGGGTGGTATTGGAAGTCGCTCAATTATGAAAGGGCCTGCTACACTCTGGATGATGTGTGGAAACCAGGTAGCTACATAGGGCCATTAATCACAACAGAAGGGATGCTGCTCACGTGGACCAAGATCAGTGTCCTAATGAAGACCAGATTCCTACTGCTGGCGACGTAACGGCGCGTCAACCCTGATACCCATGTCACCATTCTCACGGACGCACCCGAGGGGCGCGCACCATCGCCTCATCGCCCCACCATCAGCCCATCCTCACCACGACCTCGTGCCATGCGGTCTTCGCTCACCATCAGCTCACACTTTCCGCAGACGGATGCCCAATAGCCCACTCGATATTTCTCATCTCGGTGACGTCGCTTGACGGGAAGCCATGGCTCAAATACACTGCCCGCGCGCCTCTGCCGGGCAAACAGCAGCATTGCTCAGCGCGTCCTTACCTACTGGCTGAAACAACGCACCTCCGAATTCCGCGATTGATCAAGCCGGCAACGCAGAAGAGATCAATATCGAGAAGCAGGCCATCACTCAACACAAAGGAAGAGACTCCAAGATGCCGGCCAAGATGGCGCCCTCCCGTTTGATCGTCCACGTCGACCGCGAAGACCTCTACACGAATCTCGAAGCCCGCATCCGCTACCTGCACTCCTTTCTCGACTTCAGCAGCAGTACGTCCCACATCCTGACCCCCCTTTACGCCCCTCACCTCTGAGCTGCAGCCTCTTGCGGAAAAGAGAAGAGGAAGTAGAAGTAGAAGTAGAACAAGCTGACACGCCCCCCCCCGGCAGAGGACATCGAAGCCCTGACCTCGGGCGCAAAATACATCAAGGCCCTGATCCCAGCCATCGTCAACATAGTCTACAAGAAGCTGCTGCAATACGACATCACAGCGCGCGCCTTCACGACGCGGTCGACCTCCTACTCGGGGCCCCTGCCCGCAGAAGACGCCGCGTCCGCAGCGGCCGAGCGGCTCTCGGAAGACTCGCCCCAGATCCTGCACAGGAAGCACTTTCTCCGCGCCTACCTCGCCAAGCTCTGCTCCGACCCCTCGCGCCTCGACTTCTGGGCCTACCTCGACAAGGTCGGCATGATGCACGTCGGGCTCGGCCGCGCCCATCCGCTGCACGTCGAGTACGTCCACCTCGGCGTCTGCCTCGCCTTCATCCAGGACGTCATGACCGAGGCCATCCTGTCGCACCCGCGCCTGGCCCTGCCGCGCAAGATGGCCCTCGTCAAGGCGCTCGGCAAGGTCATCTGGATCCAGAACGATCTCATGGCCAAGTGGCACGTGCGGGACGGTGACGAGTTTCGACCGCCGGGTGACGAGGAGATTGTCATTGAGAGGGAGGGGTATCTGAACGGCAAGAAGATTCTAGACGGAAGCGATGACGAGGGGGACGAGGGCGCCTCCGATGGTCATGCGCAGGGATCTCCGTCAAGGTTGCCAAGGCCGTCGAGCGCGAGTGTGAGTGCGAGTGCTGGCAGTGCACCAACGTGCCCGTTTGCCGGCATGGCGGCTGGTGTTGACGGACTGAGCGTCGGGGAGAAGTCAGCCGGGCACAAGACAACATCAGCGGAGGCGGCCTAGGCCACCCGCCATACGACTGCATAGCGCATCATGACAATGAAATGGTAAGAAGTTCATTATGTAGCCTATATTGTATAATACACCTTGATGACAAACACTGCCATGTAAGATAGACATGTCCACGCTCCACGCTTCAAATCAATTTCACCCTGCAAACCCATCATGTTGCTGACCTAACCCGACCCAGCTCAACTAAGCAGGTTAAGCACCCACATGACACCAAACATCATCGCCACGCGCACCCGCAGGTCATTCGCCCACGTGTGCATGGCCGGCATCAAAGGCCGCACCCGGGCCAGGACGAGCTCGTCAAACTTGGAGTTGACGCTCCACAGCTTTTCCGACTCATTCTCCGCCTCCTGGCCGACAGTGCCATCCGTCACCAGCTTCACCAACGCTCCGGTAGCTTCGGCTAGGCGACTGCTGACCCACAGGAAGATGGGCACGATGAAGACGAGGTCTCGCCACCTGTCGTTGAATAGTGTGCTGTCGCCAGAGAACATGCCCAGACGGAGCACGCCCTTGGTATCTGCCGCGAGGAAGAGATGGAACTGCAGCGTAAAGGTCTCAAGCGAGCACCTGCCCAACCACGCCGCTGCGCTCGAGGTGAAAAACTGAGCGGGTCCGGGCATGTTGCGGACGGCAATGAAACTGAGGATGGGAATCCAAGAGATGTATGGATGCCAAGAGTTGTAGATTTCTTTGGTCGGGAAATATTCCCCACAAGCGTGGTAGTAGCCATACATGGCGACGAGACCACCGACAGCGCCAACATACGAGCTTAATGCCCAGGCACATGCGTTCGGGTAGCGGACGTGTGCAATGGCGGTCAGCATGCCGACGAACACGATGAAGGCGTCGAGGCCCACACGGAACGTCCACTCGTGAAGATTCCACTTGATGTTGCAGAGTAGACGAAGTGCAGTGAAGCTCCATTCGGGAACGGGCGATTTCATCATGCCGAGATATGTGATGAGGGCAGAGATGACGATTTTCCCGAGCAGCGCGCCCAGATTGTCGTTGTGCTGGCGGCCGATGGCGAGAGTGCTGTAAACCACCATGAACCAGAAACTGACAAGTGGAGCAAAGTAGTAGAACATGTAGTCCGTGCCCATGACGTAAGGAAGAGCGCAGCTGAGCAGGTTCAGGCGCAACATGGTAGCTGCGATGCGCTTGAAGCCGAAATCCTTCTTCTTCAGGAAGAAGATGGTATGACCGTAGCCGGTCTGGAAAAGATACGAGGCTACGAGCAGACGGATGAAGATGTAAATGCCGAGATCCTTGGAGGCGCCGGTCCAGTGGTACACGAGAATGGCGGCCTGCATCCAGCCCTTCCACTCCTCCGTCTGGTCCCGAGGAAGGAGAACGTTGACCTCGAGGGCCTTCTGCGGAGCAATGGTGTCAGGCTGAGGAGCAGCCCTGGAGCGGCGGATGGTGAAGAGGAAAACGAGGACACAAATGGCGGTCATGACGGTGAACTCATCGTACACGAACATTTTCGAGGCCTTGGCGAGGAACTGTGTGCGGTCGGCGTGGTAGCAGGCTAACAGAGCCGTCACGAACAGGCCCGTCTCCATGTCGAAGGGGGCACGGCGGCCGACGCGCGCCTTAAGGATGCCGTAGGTCTCATAGACGACGCATGCAATGACATAGCAGGTGCCGAAGAACAGGAACATGAGCTGGACCAATGAAGGACCGCCGTAGTTGGTGCAGCAGGTCCTGTTGTGGGGGTAGCCATCCATGGCATCGAGTTTGGCGTTGCAGCGGGCGTTGAGCAGAATGGTGGCCTTGGTCTCGGCGACCGAGTCAATCACATGGAAGCCCGTCTCGTGACGGTCGACCATGGCGGCGGGTTCGGTGCGGGAGAGGGCGGGGAACGCCCAGAGCAGGTTGAGGCTGCGTTCATCGCGGACGCTGTCGAGGTACTCGTCCATCGATTCCACCTCACCGACGTGAAGACCCTTGGGGCCCTTGCGCTTGCTGGGAAGATCGTCATAGTAGGGAGGGGCGATGGGCGCGATGAAGACCTCGTTGCCGATGCCATCACCGGGGATCATGGGGCGTTTGCCGAATTCGGGGTAGTCCTGCTGGCGCAATATAGCAGTCACGTTGTCGATGGCCGAGCTGAACTGTTGCAGGGACTCCTCCTCGAAGTAACGAAGAGCCCACCAGCTGCCGAAGCCGATCATGGTCAAGGCGGCTGCCTTTTGCTCCGAAACGGGGACAGGGTTCTCGCGCTCGTGGCGGAAAAGTTCGAGCTCCTTCTTCAGCTCAACGCCGTCCTTGTCGAGGTCCATGAAGGGGTTCCAAATCTGGCGCATCCGGATGCCGCCAAACTTCATGTCATAGGCAGCATGTGTTGCCGACTCTCTGCGAGTCTTGTTCGCCAGTTCCCTGTCGAGCTGGTCACGTCAGAAAAAAGCAAGATGGGTTTACGCATGGCCGCTGGAGAAATAGCTCGAGCGACAGTCGCTGGAAGGTTTGCGGCGGCAGGAGAGGACTAGCTAGACATACCAGACGGGCCATACCCCAGAAGACCTGACGGGTGGTCGAGTCGCCAGAAAAGACCATGTGCCGGCCCTCCATGCAGCGGTGGATGTCATCGCTCGTGTACTTGCGCATCATGCATCCATCTGGCTGCCAGGTGTTGAAGGGACGGCGGGTGCCGTTGGCATCAACAGGGTCGATCCACTGACCATCGCCAATGAGGGCGCCGCAGCGGTAGGGGTCAACAGAGAAGATGCTGTTGAGGAAGATTGTGCTGAGGAAAACGGCGGAGAACAGAACAGTGGCCACGCGGGGCCAACTGGAGTTGGATGCCATGTCGTGCGGATTGTCTCGGACGGTTCCGTTTGTGGCTTGCGAGCGTGGGAGAAAGAGAGAGGGGTGACTACGTCGGGTGTAGGTGCTTGTATTCGGGCGGGGTCGACCGCACGTTCTGTCCGTGATGCGAGGAGCTGTATAAATTAAAGAACGTCTTTGATCAATGGAAAGTGTCGTCAATGTGGCATTCGGGAATATCGGGTTGCCCGCGAAGAGAAAGTGTGCACCGCCTTCATCAGACCAAGTTCGCTGCTTGGTATCGGTCGGTTTCGCCCGGCAAGAGATGCGCTGTCCGGATGTACAGACGGGAAAAACAGAACAGCTGGCAGGTTGTCACACGAGCCGCGAGAAGAACGAAAGAAAGAACAAAAATGACAGATTCGAGAGGATCCCGACGGACAATAAACAAGGGCAAAGAAAAAGGCTGGCCGTTCCCTCCGAAGTCGAAGATGGGTAGATCAAAGTTTCGCTGCGTGGTAGGGCAGAGAAGAACATTTAACAGACCAAGCACATGCAGACCGGGGGGCATCATGGCCAAGACAGGCTGCAGGTGACTTCCCTGGCGTCCCTTGGCTTCATGGATGGGGGAAGGTACCAGGAACAGGGTAGTGGCTGCCGGAGTAAGGGGCTTTTGGGCCTGCCAAGCAGAGAAGGGAGCAGGATGATTCGGAGAGACGGCTTCTCGGCGGGGATAGAGGGCAGGAGCAGGCGTGGATGGAGAACAAAAGGGTGGGTGGATGTCGGCGACAGCTTGGTCGAAACACCGGGTCTCCACCTCCTGAATGCTTGTCCTACCTACCTACGTACCTTAAAAGGTACCTTAACGTATTTTACCTTGAGGTGCCCGCCTAATTAAGATGCTGTCGGTACCCAGGTACTTACTTAGTGGGAGGTCCGCTGTGCTATCTGGTACCCGAGATAATACCTGTCGGTGGTCCGAGAGAGAAGCGTCAATCAGGCGTGGCAGCCACACTTCCCTACAAAAGGCAAGGAAAGGGCGGCACTTGACCCTAGGTAGTGCAGCCAACCACAACCAAGAAAGGCCGTTGGCTCGCTGCGCTGGAAGGAGGGGGGGACACAAAATACAGCCAGCAGCAGCCACTCGGGCTCGTGACTCGCTGCTGTTAGCGGTGGGTGCAACCACGGCCCCCCTATTGTCCACGCTCCGCTTCCCTCTTTCTGATGACCTGTCATTAGCTCCGTTCTCCCCAACGTTGCTTTTAGGTGGTCTAGAGCCATGCTATCGACCCGGACCCTTTCCGATGACCAGGATTTTCTGTGACCTTAATCCTGATTCACTGCACCGTTGCAGTAACACTAATCTGGCTGGCCCGTTGTTTTTCTCCATCCAGCCCACAGAAGGGCGGTATCAGATTCTGCTCATCACTGCCATGTCTGGTGTTCGCTGCGTAAGCTGTGCGCTCACTGTCATCCTTGGCTGGACACTGGCTGTTTTGGAGTGGGAAGACATGTGCACCACCGATTTCACGGACGGCAGGCCGTTCTCATCGCCAGCAGGCGCTTCACGCAGCGTGGCCACGAATGTCTCCATGTTCTTCCTTGTGTCATCTGTCGCCAAGGGCTGACGCGGTCCACCCCTCCTTTCCCGACAGCATCAGCTCCTTTCCCGACAGCATCAGCACCAACGCAGCATCTCACCCTCGCCTTTCCAGCGCGCGCCCGCTGTGTACAGCACACCACGTCCTTATGGCACCCAAGCCCCCCGGATCAAAATTAGGATCGAGATGCCTTGACGATCAGGGAAAGCAAAACAATGAAAGATCGCTGCCGCGTCACGCACTGTTTTGTCCGTCCCGGCCGGATCTGCATCCCTCTGGCGGCCTGTGTGCTCTGTCCCCCCTCCCGAGCCCCGACGATCCCGTCCACTGGATCAAATTCATCTTGCCCTGCGAGGCTGCCTCGGCGTCCGCCCAGGCCCCGCACCCACTCGCTGGTGGCCACCACCCCACCAGGACGCGACCAGGCGAGTCGTTCTCCACGACTGGCCACCAACGAACGGCCGTCTATCGCCCCCCCC